TTCGGGTTGAGGGCTTTAGGGGTTCAGGGTTTACGCCATCCCAAATCGCCCCGCGCCAGGGCATCGGGTTTTTGGCTAAAAGCACTTGTACCTGCAGCCCCGAAAGGGCGAAGAGCATGCAAGCGCCCATAAATCTAACATAGGCGCCTGGAGAATTAGACTGGTGTTCTGGGGGCGGCCGACTCTCTCTTTCTCTCTCTCTCTCTCTCACTCTATCACTCTCTATAAATATATAAATAAATAAATAAATAAATATACATATATATATATATTTCTGTTTCTTTATTTATTTATTTGTGAATTATTCCCGAAGAAGAATCCTGAGAATATCTAGCCACAAAACCGAGACACGAAACCTGGTGTAGAGAAATCCAGCGCCCTGTTCAAAGGAGCTGACCCGAGACAATGATAAGAATGGCTCGCTTTTCAGGGTCAATCAGATATTTCAAGGGACTAAAGGAGGGACCCTTAAAGGGACCCTTGTGGTTATATAGGGGCTTTGGATTAAGGGTCCCTTCTAGGGGTCCCCCCTATTGTCCCTAAAAGTTTGAACCAAAGTCACTGCCCCCTAAGCCCCAAACACTAAACGGTTCTGAAACTGGAAGGCACAACTCTCCCTGGTTCACGGCACCACAGTTGCTCCACGTATGATCATAAATATGTACCATGCAGATAGTATCCATCGTAGTTCATTTTTTGTGTTTCCTTCAGGGTCCTTCGTTCAAATGGTTAAACCAACAATGGGAACTACAATGGAGACTATAGGCGTGCCCAAAACGCTGTTGGAAAAATGAAAGCGCCTTTAGCTATAGCACTATACTACACCCAGAAAACCTGCATAACAGACCTCCAGCAACCTATCAAAAGTCTTGCAGCCCTATCAAAACCCTCTGCAACGCCCAGACAACCCTACAACAACCCGTAAAGCCTTGTTCTTGAACATTCTGAACCCTAAACCCTTTCAAACCCCCCAAATCTCCCAGAAACCCTATCAATCGTGGGGCTGTTCGGGCTCCAGATGCGCTCGCGCCAACCTCACAAACTTGAGTGCATTCACGTGAAACTGGTACGGCGTGGGGCAGGTTAAGGTTTAAGGTTGTTTAGGGTTTGGGGTTTAGCGGAGGGGGTGGCGCAATGCCAGAATTAGGTACAACGTTTATGGAATGAGCGTGACTGCATGATGGATTTTGCTCGCAGAAGCCAAGCGAGCACTCTCCTTCAATAGCTGGCACGGGCTGGTGGGATTCCGAAGGATGCGAGGACTGGTTAAAGTCAAGCGCTTTCTAGTATGTCGATTTGGCGGTTTCCGAAAATTGGGGACCCTAATATAGCACCCTAAATAGTAGGATCCTTGTTAAAAGGACCCCAAAATTAGGTACCCCTAATTTTCGGAAACTCCCATTTAAGGCGGCCCTCATACTAAACCCTTTCCCGCTTCGGGCCCCAAACCGACCAGGACCCTCCTTGGTTCAAGGGGTAAAGGGGTCCCAAATCATGTGGGTTGTTTTCAAAATGAGGGTCCCTTCTAGGGTCCTTTTTATAAGGGTGCCGTACTATATTGGGGACCTGAGAAGGGACCCTAATTTAGAGAACTACCCATGTGCATTTAGGGTAGGGTCTAGGTATGAGTAGTTCTCTAAATTAGGGTCTCTTTTGGGCCCCCAATATAGTACAGCACCCTGAATCAAAGGACCCTAAACCCTAAACCCTATTTTAGAGAACTACCCCTAGATCAAACAAGGCATGTGGTGCCATTGGGAGACTTGGAGGGGTCCAAGAGTTAAGCTGCGGTGCATTATACCACAGACCTTGCAGACAAGAGCTGGGTAGTGCTCTAAATTAGGGTGCTTTCGTTTAATAGGAGCCAAGAAGAAGGCGGCGCATGGCAGCACCCTTATAAAAAGCAACCTAATAAAAAGGGACCCTGATTTTGAGAACGCAGATAAGGACACTGTTGTGCTGAGCTGTTGTGCACGCGGCTCCCATACAAGAAGGAACGCCTCGTAGGCAACGTCAACAGCGATTCGCGCAAGGTTGAGCGAGTTCCGGTATCGGGCATCCAATAATACTGATCATCGTTGTAAGAAGAACACCAGTACTGATTAGATACAACAGTGAATGCTGTGACTTCTGTGGCTTTGGTGCACCATGGCCAATGGTTTTTCACCTTCCGCCAGTCAAACAACTCGAAACTCTGCTTCACGGAGCCCTAAACAGCCAAGCCCGAAAACCTTGGATTGCCGTACATACCTAAGCAACTGACCCGGAACTTCTACTATCCTGGGATCCGCACCCCTGTACCCAAAAGCAACTCGCCTAAACCCTAATTCGAACCGAACCCTAAACCCTCATCCCTATAAGCCCTAAACCCTACACCCTACACCCTATGAGCCCTAAACCCTATAAACTTAATCGTAAACCCTAAACCCTATAAGCCAAAAACCCTGAACTTAAACGTAGAACCTAAAAAAACCTAAACCCTATAAGCCCAAAGTCCTATAAGCTTAAGCGTAAACCCTAAAAAACCCTAGAACATACCTCAACATGGGAGTTTCCGAAAAGAAGGGGTATCTTATGTTGGGGTCCTTATAATAAGGATCCTACTTTTTTAAGGGCCCCCCCCCCTAAACCCTAAACCCTAAAACCTAAAACCCTAAACCCTAAACCCTATAAACCCTAAACCCTAAACCCCCTATCTTCGGAAACCTCAACATGGGCCCTGGCGCAGCCAGCGCAAGAGCCCCGAAGAGGCAGCGAGACATCCCGCGCTCCCAGACGGCCTTTAGGGTTTAGGGTGTTAGGGTTTAAGGTTTAAGGTTGTGGGTTTAGGGTGTTAGGGTTTAGGGTTTAGGGCTTTAGGGTTTTAGGGTTTAGGGTTTGGGGTTTTAGGGTTTTAGGGTTTTAGGGTTTAGCGGGTTTTAGGGTTTAAAACAACTCCCAATCTCCCAGAGAATTGGGGTTTAGGGTTTGAGTTTACCGGACTGGCCGCAACGATAAGGGCTTCGTAGGGTAGTGTAGGGCCCATATTTCGAGTAGAGTTCCTTTAAAGGGTTCTAGAATGAGGGTGTTGCCGGATTTATAGGGCTTAGTGTAGGGAGCGTAATGGTTAGAACAGGGTTTCCTTAGTGGGGCTCGCGTCCAGGGTTCCATAGTGTTTTTCATTAAGGCTTATACAGGGCCTTAATTATTTTCAAAACAGGGTTGCTTTTGATGGGGCTGTATAGGTGTGCGATGGTCTAGGTGCCTGAGTACAGCTGATTTTGTTAGGGTGCTAGGACACGAGTACGCCGAGCATAGGGATAGCACTGTTAGGGTTGAGCTAGACATCCTTAAAATGCCACCCCAGCACACCCAATAGGCCCTACAAGCCCTATACATACAACCCATAAAACCTATAAGGTCTAAGCCCTATATATTCAAGGAAACTACAGGTGGGGAGATTAGGCTATATAGGGCTTCTATAAGGCTTCCATAAGGTATATAGTATATAGACCCTCTATAAGGCTCCTATAACGGTAACTACCCACCTGAAAATGTCCTAGACAATAATTAACCCTACCCTAAGGGTCCAAGCAGTCCTTATCTATGGATGTTGGATCCCAGAAAGGACCCGAAGTCCGATAAGAGGGCGTACTTGGACCCTAAAACCCTACAAACCCTACACAACCCACAACGCCTGTAAGGCCTAAACCCTATAAACCACCCTAAACCCTAAACCCTAAAACGCTAAACCCTAAACCCTATAAGCCCGAAACCCTAAAAAGCCCACTAAAGCCCAACACGAAGCCTTGAACCGCAGCCGCAACCAACTGAGCTCGACTTGAATTGCCACCTCCCGAGCTTTAAGGCCTTGAGGTTGCATCAGCCTAACCATGTCTAACCGTAAGGATCCATCTGCCAACCTATCTATCTATCTATCTATCTATCTATCTATCCACCTGTCTGCCTAGATACCTATGTACCTATCTATCTATCTGTCTACCTATCTATCTCTCTATGCCTTTATCTCTCTGTCTATCTATTATCTATCTATCTATCTATCTATCTATCTATCTACCCACCTATCTATGTATCTATCTATCTATCTATCTATCTATCTATCTATCTCTCTCTCTATCTCTCTATCTATTAACTATCTATCTATCTATCTATCTATCTACCTATCTACGTATCTATCTATCTATACAACTATCTATGTATCTATATATCCATCTATCTTTCGATCCTTCGATACTATCTATTTATGTTTCTATCTATCTATCTGTCTATCTATCTATCTATCTATCTATCTACCTATCTATCTATCTATCTATCTGTATCTAGTGTAGTATATCTGTATGTGTGTATGCATATATACATACCGCACCTACATATAGACACATGTGTATATAGAGAGAGACACTCCCTATATATATATATATGGGTGTTATCC